GCAGCAACGTTTGCAGCATGACCAGAACAGGTTTCTTGTTAGAGAGCGGGAAAATAAAAAAACAACCCTCCCAGAACTCATTCAGCTCTTCTCCCCTACCCCACCTCCTTTGGTTTTTTTTTTTTAAATTCACATCGAGTATATTTAATCAGTGCCAGAAACTGCACAAGTCTGTGTTTGCGCTTTGGATCCACCGAAAATAGTGACGAATTCAAGCTGGGCTCACTTTCAGCTTCTGTGAGGAGTGCCTCTATCAGACACCCCAAGGCACAGCGTCTGCGTCCCTGACGCGTGTGCCTGTGCCCGCCTGCGAGGGAAAATGAGATTTTTCGCAGCATTTTATTTGGCATGGCTGGGGCTGGGGGAACGACGACACTTAGGGCAGAAGAAATCAGTGACAACCTGCTGATTGGGGATGGGACTGTGCCGCACAGGGTCAAATGCGGCTTTCCATGCCAAAACAGTGAGGCAGGATAGTGGTGCAGCTGGGGGCACTGAAGCACCTGGGAGGAGGCAGAGAAGCCACCTCGGGATGCCGGGAAGAGTGCTCATAGAAGCCGCTTGTTTGAATTGATTCCTCCCTCCCTCTCCGCCTTCTCCTCCCCGGTTTTTTTTGGTGCCTCCAGCCAGGGTGACGCTCCTGGATGCGGGGCACACAGGCTGTGTCCCCGCTGGGATGCTCAGCGAGCCTTGCTGCAAGGCAATGATCTCCCCCATTAGCTCTGTGTCCCTTGCGCCTCCGTAATGAGAGCTCGGCTTCAGCTTCCTGGGTTGGTTTTTTTTTTCCCTTTTTTTTTTTATTTTTTGTTTTATCTCTTCCAGATGCCTCCCCGTCCGCCCCCGAGCAGCGATACCTCTTTGACATCTCCAGCCTGCCTGAGGCGGAGGAGGTGACGGGCGCGGAGCTGCGGGTCCTGCGTGCCCTCCCCGAAAACCGGAGCTTGGCCCTGTCCCCTGAAGGCACCTTCCACCACCTCCTCCTCTCCACCTGCCCAAGCTGGGATGGCGAGGAGCCCCGGCTGCTGGACTCCAGGGCTGCAGACATTTTGGATGCGGGCTCCTCCAGATGGGAGGTGTTTGATGTCTGGGAAGCCCTGCGGGATGGGAGGGAGAGATCTCCCTCTGGCAAGCTGCTGTGCTTCTCGCTGAGGATCGTCTCGGATCAGTCGGGGCGGCTCCTGCCCCCCCGGCAGCTGGGGTTCAGCAAGCCCCGGCCGCAGCCCCATGAGCGAGCCCTGCTCGTGGCCTTCTCCCGCACCCAGAGGAAGGAGAACCTCTTCAGGGAGATCCGGGATAAGATCAAGGCCCTGGGCAGCCCCCCCTTCCTGGAGCCCCCCGATCCCGGCCAGGAGGCATACCCCAAGCGGAGGAAGAGACGGACCACCATCGCCGCCCGGTCTGGGGGCAGAGGCCATGGGAAGAAGGCGAAGACCCGCTGCAGCAGGAAGCCCCTGCACGTGAACTTCAAGGAGCTGGGCTGGGACGACTGGATAATCGCCCCCCTGGATTATGAGGCGTATCATTGCGAGGGGGTCTGCGACTTCCCCCTGCGCTCCCACTTGGAGCCTACCAACCACGCCATCATCCAGACCCTGATGAACTCCATGGATCCGGAGTCC